GTGCCGGGAGGGGACCCCCAGCCCCAGGGTGTCCTGGCGGCGGGTTCACCCGTCCCTGCAGCCCCAGGGACGAGGGCTGCGGTGGGGGTGGTGGTGGTGGTGGTGGCCGGTGCTGATGTCCCCAAAGCAGGGCTGGGGCTGCGGTGAGCTCAGCCGTGCTTCCCTAGCACAGCCCAGCTCAGCGCCAGCTGGGCTGATGCAACCCCACGCAACCGTCCGCGCGTGTGTCAGCTGGTGTTTTGGGACTGGCTGGGGGTTGACAGGACGCCAGGGTGGGCAGAGGGGTCCCCCCCAACCCCGGCGGCGGTGCCGCTCATCCCAGGTGCTGTCGTGCAGGATGAGCCCAGCGAGTGGGAGAAGGCAGAGCTGGACCAGGCGCAGGTGGAGCAGCGGATTAAGGAGTACAACAGCCAGATCAACAGCAACCTCTTCATGAGCCTGGTACGGGGATGGCGCAGGGCCGGGGGGGTCACGGCATCCTGCCCTGGCCCCGCTCACCCCCCCCCCACTGATGTCTCCCAGAACAAGGATGGCTCCTACACCGGCTTCATCAAGGTGCAGCTGAAACTGGTGCGCCCCGTCTCGGTGCCGGCCACCAAGCGGGTCCCCTCCCTGCATGCGGGGCGGCCAGGACCACGCGCCCAGGGGGTGAAGCGCCGCACATCCTTCTACCTGCCCAAGGGGACCGTCAAGCACCTGCACATCCTCTCACACACCCGCGCCAGCGAGGTCATCGACGCCCTCCTGCGCAAGTTCACCGTCGTCGACAACCCCCGCAAGTTCGCTCTCTTCGAGAGGTCTGAGAAGGATGAGCAAGGTAGCACCCTGGGGTGGCCTTGTCCCCATAAAGGTGGCCCTGTCCCCTGTGGTGGCAGCTTCCCCTGGGTGGGGGCGGCCCCATGGTGGCAATGTCCCTGGGGTGGTGGTGTCCCCATGGTGGTCATGTCCCCTACGGTGGCAGCATCCCCCTGGAGGTGGTGTCCCCCATGGCAGTGGGTGGTGTCCCCTGTGGTGGCAGCATTCCCATGGCAATAGTGTCCCCCATGGTGGCGGTGTACCCCATAGTGGCAGCATTGCCGTGGCAGTGGTGTCCCCCATGGCGGTAGTGTCCTCCCTGGCAGTCATGTCCCCATAGTGGCAGCTTCCCCTGTGCAGCAGCATCCCCCTGGTGGCAGCATCCCTGTTATGGTGGTATCCCCTTTGGTGGCAGTGTCCCCAGTGGCTGGGGGGGGTGTCCCCCATGGTGGCAGTGACCTGATGGTGATGTCCCCATGGTGGTGGCATCCCCATGGCAGCAGCATCCCCATGGTGTCAGTACCCCTGTAGCAGCAGTGTCACCTGTGACAAAGGGTGTCACCATAGTGGCAGCATCTCTGCAGCAGTGGTATCCTCCTTTGGTAGCAGTGTCCCCTGTCACCATGGGCATAGTCCCCCATAGCAGCAGTGTCCCTCTATGGCAGTGGTGTCCCGCGTAGTGGTGATGTCCCCATAACAGCAGCATCCCCATGGTGGCAGCATCCCTGTAGCGGTGGTATCCCCCTTGGTGGCAGTGTCCCCTGTCCCCAGTGGCAGTGGTGTCCCCATAGTGGCGGTGTCCCCGTGGCGGTGATGTCCCCGTGGCAGTGTCCCCCCTGTGACACGTGGCCGCTGTTGCAGTGTACCTGCGGAAGCTGGCCGACGAGGAGCAGCCCCTGCGGCTGGGGCTGGCGGGCGCGCCCCACCGGGACGGGCTCCA